ATCCTTACAAGCATAAAATAAAGTCATAAAAATGAAATAGCTCAATGGGAAACTCCCGTGAACTTTTGCCTATCGACCAGATTTCGCTGGCGCTTCACTGATAACGAGAAAGGTTTAAGTTTAAAATTTGAGCTTTCTGGATCCGGTAGTTATTCCTCTGCTAGCGACTGCAGTGCCGAATGAATGAGGAGGAGAAGAAGAAAATACAACTTTTTTGGCGAGTTTTGCACTTTTCGATCTCTTACATTTCGGCAACCGCATTACAGGAAATCTTGAAATTTTGCATAATAGGAAAAAAATTATCTTTCGGAATTACTTCAGGTGTTTGGGGGCGGAAAAACTGACTCCCGAAAACCGGCAGCTCTGATTCCTGTATACAGTATATAGTCAGTCAGTGACTTTTTTCTTGGCTGGAAGTCACTGCCACGACTCTCGATATTTATTGAAAACAGGATATGAAAATTTCTCTTACTTTAAAGTATACTTTTATTTTTATGTAGTTTTTGTTAATACGAAAATTATTTTCACCTTAACAAAATCTAGTTTGTTGTTATATCATAATACAGCATTAAATTGACTGTCGATTTTGTTAGTTACGAACGAATGAAATTAAACTTTTTCAAAATTTATTAATACATAAAATATTTTAATGTTGTAATGTAAAAATTAGAATAATTATCGATATACGAAGAATTTTTCGTTTGTTCTTTGTTTATGTAGAATACTAAAAAAATTATACTTTGAGTTGACAGTGGGAGCGGCCGAATGGGGGTGAGGGACGTGCTTCGAGATAATGACTATAAAAGATTCCTGAGGCTTTGGGCGCTCGAACTCGGACCCAAGAGTAGAAATCTGACGTTTTCACTGCGTCGAACATTCAGCCACGAGTGAATAAACACGCATATCTTCCTTCACCTGTTATTTGCTCTATGCAACAAACCACCTAAAACTTATCTCGAATTCCATCCACCCCAAAATAATAAAATTTTCCCTATTTAAATTTTATTTTTCAAAAGTACAAAACGAATAAATAAACCAATATAATATTCCTGATTTAAATACTATATTTAGAATGTTAAAAGAATTAAATTACAGTACATATTTAATTCAATGAAAAGGAAAATTTAAATAAAGAATAAAATATTTATATAAGGTAAACTCACGAATGATGACAGAATTATCAATAAACATCTGAGCGACGGCCGGGTGGNTTAAATTAATTTTATATACACATATGTATATAAAAGAAAAGGAAAATTTAAATAAAGAATAAAATATTTATATAAGGTAAACTCACGAATGATGACAGAATTATCAATAAACATCTGAGCGACGGCCGGGTGGTCGATCGGTTGAAGTGACAACCTACCGCTCTGGAAGATCGAATCTGGACGGATCGCAAAACCACCAGGAATTTTTCGGGGCGATCCAAGCGGATATGTCGACCCATATCTTCATACCCTGCAGCCCCATTATGGGCTCGCTAGGAAATGGTGGTACTTATGAGTTAAGAGGACGCCAGTCGGAAATAGCGTTTTCTCCGAATAATGCAATTTTTTATTTGTCAAATTTAATAAAATTGTTAAATCAAACAATAAATTACGATTTATAAAGATATAACAAAATTTCACAAACTAATAATAAACCACTTGAATATGCAAATTGTTTTGTAGCGTATATGGTAGGGTTTCTCATTTTCCGGGAAATTTGCCTCCAGCGGGATTACGGGAAAAATAATTTCTTTTCCCGGGATCCCGGGAAATTTCGGGATGAGATAGTAAAATAGAATTTCATATGAATAAAAAATATCATACAGGAATATCATAAACTTGAATAATTTAATTTATTTTCTAGTAAGCAACTTAAAGTGTAGGGCCAATCTCACCCATACGGACACGTTAGGCTCAATTAATTTATGTTCTCCTACATTATAAGATGAAAGTAAAATAAAGCGTTTCATCGGGAGTTTTAATGAATATAATAATGATTACGAAAAAAATACTATTTTATTCCTAAAGATGAAATAAAATAACATACTTATTCCATAAATTTAATGACAAAAAAGACAATTATTTTGAATTGAACAAAAAATACACCTTTCATGTGGAAGTTTGAAGACGTTTAAAGGACAAAGATAGAAATGGCCATGATCATGAAGCAATCAGTTCTGGTCATAATAACATAACTGGAACTGATATTAGGAGAGGCCCGAATAAGAACGTGCAAGCCTACATTCACCTCTGTACCACTGGATGTAACCACTGGCACTGATGAACACACACAACCTTTTCCCCTGTACTTTTTACTTGCTGAACCTATTCTTGTATGCTGGTTGAATAAAACTTAATATAAACAGATCTGAGTAATAAACAAATCAATATTCGATTTAATCCTTAATTTTGTACGTCTACTTTTAATGAAATAAAAAAGCGTTTTGAACGAAAAATTGTTTTTACTACATATAAATAGTATACTGTACAGTAGTTAACTTGTATTTCATTTTTTGTGACAAAACACAAATATTTACTCCAAATTTATGCCAATTTTTCTTCATATACTGTATAATATATATGAGCAGTGCCGTAACTAGAGCGGTGCCCAGGCACGGCGCAGACACTGGGAGGCGCAGAAATAATCTGGACCAAGTTTTGGGGCGTAGTTACAGAAGCTCGCACCGGGCGCATAAAAGGCTAGTTATGGCGCTGTATATGAGACTAGTGTTCAAATGGAAAATTTGAAGTCCGGAAACAATTCGAATTTCCTTAGAACAGAAACAAATCAGCATTGATGAATTACAATATTTTCTTCTAATTGTTCTAAATGAGTTTTTTAAAATTTAAGTCATATTTATTTTACGTGATTTTAAAATCCAATTTTTTACATCTCAGATGTTTTTGTTTGAATATCAATTGTTTTTTGNTTTTTTTACCAACAATGTTGTGTATATAGAAGTTTTATGATGGGATAAATGATGGAATACAGAACACATCTAAAGAATATCTTCAGTCTGTAATACAGAAATACTATTTCCTGTGTATTGCTCTGTTAACATTACTTTTTAACATGAAGATTTGTATATGTTTATACTTGATTTTTTAATCATATTAATTCTATTTATTTGAACAATTTTGAGTAAAGAATAGATTCACTTTCTCATGTACAAATACTGTTGGCTGTTTGTGTATTGATATTTTAAGTTTAGTTTCTAAGATGAAGAATTGTATACATTTATATATATTAACTGCATCAAACTTTTAAACATTAAGCGCACAACTTTCATATATTAAGTGCATTAAACATGCCTCAGGAATTTGTAATGCTGCTGGAACGCCCACTAGGGGGCGTCCCGGGCTACTAGTAGGATATAAATGGGAATGTAAGCTTCAACAAATTTTTTAACTTATAAATTCGAATTCGAAACTAAAGTGCGATGAGTGATATTTACTTTTAGCGAGTGCTCCGCTGTTCGATGATGCGCAAACACAATACATAGATATTACATGAACTAACAAGTAGAGACTTGTAAAACATAGGTAATGATATGTAGCACGAAACCTCAAAATTTCTCTCTTAAGTACGTCTTCAAGATGCAACTTTTCGTATAATAAATGATAGAAAGAAAACATGACATGATAAATTATTATTGAAATGCGAGATTTCCCGGGAAAATAAAATTTCCCGGGATTTTTCTCGTAGGGAATAAACGGCGGGAATCCCGGGAAAGAAACCCTAGTATATGGCAAAATAGGCGATATCTATTATCCTAATTGATTTTTTTTTTCATTTTTACAACCTTATCAGTAAATTTTTTCTTTTTAGATTTAAATTTACTAGTCTAATTTACTAGTTTGATATTTTCATTCAAAATAGCGACTTTGATTGCTATTTCCGATTGGCGTCCTCTTAACCCATAAGTACCGGAATGGCCCTGAGGGCACATTTAATCGATAGGGCCAAGTTAGCTAAAACGTCATTCTGAAGATCCCGTTCCATCTAGATAGGATTCTCAGAAATTTTTGCGGGTTATTTGGTCCGAATATATCCGAAATAGTGCAAATAGGATTCGAACTCTGTCCATCTATTTGCACCATTTTGGTGGACTTACATGCTTCGGTCTAATGCCAACAAGGTAGTTAGAAAATAATATTCTTAAGGAAAATACTCAGAAGCAAAATGCTCATTTGTATACTTTTCCGATGTTTAATTATAGTCTTTTTTATTTTTTCAATTATCCTATGTATCTATAGTAGTAGTAATACTAATATCGACTGCTATTGATAACTGGGTCATTACAAATTTTTCTACGAAATACGTTTTTATAAAAGGTAAATAAATTTAACTTTTCAGATAGTTTCTATTTAAAATATTTGGCGAAACACACGCAATAGCTATTCATATACAAGAATATATATATATATAACTGATTTAGATCGCAGAGTAATAAGTAGACACCACTTCCCTCCTAATTAATTATTCAAAGAAAATATTCTCAGTAAATACAACAAAATATTTTTTAAAATTTCATATGATTTTTAATTCATTTATTTTCATTTTTTGAAATAGCAATATATTATTTCTGTAAAACATAAATGAATGCAACAAAAGTTTTCTGGTGGTTCTTTTTTAACACTTTTAAATGTAAAAGTTTGAGTATAAAAAATACATATTTATGATCACATGCAATTCAGTAATGAAATATGAGAAATATAACTAAAAAAATTACTCAAAGACAGCCTACAACATCAAACAGTAAAAATTTTATTGGGAGATACCAGTATCAATTTAACTATTTATACACAGTTCAATGTTAAGTTTTGGATCAGTAATGATTTAACAAAAGCTGTTTATCAGATAATTTCAATATACAAAATAAAATGATTAAAATATTTTGAATAAGTACTAAACTAAGTTTTGAGTTTAAAAATTTTTCATTGCATTTATTTTTACTGAATTTTATATTGTATTCTTAATGGGTTTAAAGTGAAAATTTTGATATATAAAATTAAAATTACTGTACAAAAAAGTACTGTACTTTTCTTAAATTTTGATATAATGATTTTTTAAAATCATTTGTTATATGTGTTGTATGTTTAAATTATCTTAATAACAGGCAATTCTCAATGTGTAATCAGTTAGTACAATTTTCTACTTTTATTTATTAACACTAAGGATTTTGTACACTAAATAATACTAAGTCTGTACTGTACATTTAAACATGAACTTGAACAAAATAATAATTGCATTTGAATTTTCATCAAATTAAAAACAGTCAAAACACAGTTTGACAAATTTGCATTTTGATATCACAACTGTAGAATTAAATGAATGCAGCAAGAGTAAATGTACAATATCTGAGACTTTTCAGGGTTTAAAATTTTTTTTTTCAATTGCACAAATTCAAACTTTTTGTTTTGCATTTTAACTTGTTAAATCTGCATTATTTTAATTTTGGCATCTTTTTTTAACAGCATCACAGACTGTAGGCAATACACAGATAAGTGCTTTTCACTATCTATACAGAAAGAGATATCTAGTTGCTTAACCAACCAGGAGAAACTGTACATGTTTTTCTTTGAAACAAAAATAATTCAACACTTCCACAAAAATATAGGCCTTTCCTCTACATTCAACAATTCCTGTCCTTGTGCATCTAACAACATTTTTTTTTATAACAACTTCTGCCGAGAGGCAGTTAATAAAAGCAACAGAACTTCTGCAAGACTACTTTCCAGCTTGGAATAACTGCAATTTTTGTTTTATTTTTGTGTAAAAGAAAAGATAAATGCAAATATACAAGCCGTACTGAATATGCTTCTACATTTGAGATCTATTCTTTTAGTATGTTTTAAAACAATAATGTGATGTTCTGAAAAGATGACTTGCAGAAAGTTAATAATCTAAAACATTCTAACAAACAATGCCACCTTCACAACTGGAAATGCATATTTACCGTAGAGGTGAATAAAACAATTAAGCACAAACAGTTCATGAGGAAAATGGATGACTATGTATGACAAAGTGGAGAAGTAGGTGATGCTGACTATATACAGTGAATCACAGATGCTGCAACACCCGTAACACTTTCCCCAACTGTTGCATTTCTGTTCTAGAACAGAATACAACAAAGCGCATGGCTTCCACTGACTAGTGGTCCCTGTTCATTCCCGTCTACTCCGTTTAGTTGTGCGTCCTGTGGGAACAAAGTCAAATTCACTACTGTGACGTCCTCTTTTAACAACCTGCACCTGTGACTGTGCTGTTAATTGTAGCTGAATGGCTGATGTGTTCAGTTTTTCTGCAAGTAGTAATTCTCGTAAACCAGCCATTTTCTGACTTGTTAGGTTAATATCCACACGATGGTTAGGGTTAGTGTCTGCTCCCGAATCACCCTGTAATTATAAATATATATTTAAAGTTTAAATTGAATTTTATGTAACAATTTTATAAGATTGAGTAGCCTACATTCTTGTAATCAATAATAGGCTATATTATAAAAAATTTTCTCAAGAAAATGTTAGAATCAGTCATTATCATAAATATCTTATCTTTCAAATATTTTTTAATCTAATACTGAACACTTGTTTTGAAAATCATTATATAAACTTTGAATATTTACACTATCTCATGTAATCTAGATAATCCAACATTTACAACAGATATTTTAAAAATTATTTTTCTGTACTAAACAGTAATATGTACTGTACAGTACTCTACATATAAATTGTAAAAATTGGTTCATACAATCCATACTAAAAAATTTCACATTTCAAACAATATGTATTTACTTTTAATATATTAAATAATATTCAAGATATAGGTTTTGTTATATTCAGAATTATTGTGTTATTAAAATACACTAATTAAAATTTCTGACATAAACATAATAATGTGTTTTTCATACAATTTATTATTGGAGAGTAAATTCTTATTATTTAATGATATAGATCAGTAATTTGAAATGTGATCCTCAGCTCCCAGAGATCTGCAAGTACATTTTTAAAACATTTCTGCAACATTAACAGAAAATTCTGAAAACACAAAGCCATAAAAAGAAATACACACAAAAAAAATTTCTTTCAAAATACTGTGCTTATTTCTATTAAATGTCTTAGCCCTTAAGTACTGACATGGTCTCTGGGACCACACTGATTTTTAAAATTCCATTTACTTTCTTTTTCAGTACACAGAAAAGGCTCAACACCTCAGTAGCTTCAAGTCCCATGTCTATACCTATGACACTCTTCTCATACTACAGTTAAATAATAACCAAACCTTGACAAAAAACCTTTAAAATGCAGCTTTTCATTAACTTTTCAAATGTTTTCGGCCATTTGAATGACCTTCTTCAGAAATAAAAATCAAATGATTTCAATTTATATAAAATCTACAAAAATCAAAATCATTCGATTTTTATTCCTGAAGAAGGTCATTCAAATGGCCAAAAGCATTTGAAAAGTTAATAAAAAGCTGCATTTAAAGGTTTTTTTGTCAAGGTTTGGATACCTATGACATTCTGTAGAGTTAGCATTTCAAAAAAGATTAGATTTTTTTCTGTTTAAAGGCTGGTATACACGGTAAGGAAATCCTTTGAGGATTAACCGTGATTTTTTTTTCTATCTATCCATTTTTAAATAAAAATAATTCTTTATACGTTGGGAGATATTTTAATAAGTTTTGTAAATTACTATGTTCGATCCAGCCAGTTATATCAGACTTTTTTTCGTCTGTTAAGCATATCCTTTGAGGATTTCCTTACCGTGTATACCAGCCTTAAGATAGACATGATCCCATAGAATACATGTCAGTGATTATGTAATATTTTCCAGTACTGGTCCATGCATGCATGAAATAATGAGTCAGTTTTTCCAACAACATTTTCCTCCCTCAAATGCCCATAAGTATTCTGGGATGTTTCCAGTTCCTGAATTACGAGTTGCATTTCAAGTCAATCAACAGACATCTCTCATTCAGTGATGTACAAGGACTTCATGCATGAGACAGACCCAATGTTTCCTTCAGGCATCTCTCCAGGAGTCACTCCCAGAGCAAATTCTCCACTTCTGTGGCAAACATTGGAACATTAAAATGTACATCCCATCCCCTGAAATGTCTCCCCAGAGCAAACTGAATGGATCTTGTGCAGAATTTTTTTTTCATTTATATTTATTTTCTTTTCAGCAACAATTTTAGAAGTACTAACCTTTGCCAATAATTTAAGACAAACAAATTGCAATCCTAATTAGTTTTTATTGTTGGATGGTTTTTCTAACACACTGTTTTTTCTAGAACTTTCATTTTTTAAAATACTTCTTAAAATATGTGCAATAAAACAGGAATTTCATGTTGCAATAGATGACATATGTTGCAAAGAATGTAAGCAAATTATATAAACATAGATTAAAAAATTGTGAAAAGGACAACAAGGAAGACTACAAGAATATTTTTATTTGTACAAGTGTTTATTATTTGTATTTTTTTACAATATGTTTTAAAAAAACATATTGTAAAAAAATACAAATAATAAACACTTATACAAATGGTACTGGCATTGTGCACACTGCTCCTGGATTTGGTGAGGAAGATTTTTTACCTGTGCCATAGTCATGATATCTCAGCTGTTTGTCCAATTGTGTTCATTACTAACAATTTTCCAACCATAGTCCCAGAGACCACAACCACAGTTGGAAAATTGTCAGTAATAATGTACTAAACATTTAGTAGAAATCTAAAACAGGTTGGCAGATTTCAACATAACTTACTGTAAAGGAGTCTATGAATTCATAAATTTAAACATTTTATTATTATAGTTTAAAAATTAATAATATTTAAAGAATAAAACTTTGTAACAGTTTCTAAAAATTAAACAAGCAGAGAAGAAACATTAAGATTAAGTCTAATTGATTACGTGTTGCTATTGAACTAGCTCACCATCTTCGTCCAAGACTAACTAACTACTGTTGACTTGAGGCATTATTTAGGAGTTTTTTCTAACTTTAATTTCTCAAGAATCACTATAAGTAAATTAGTTGTATAAAATAGTATCGTTAATTTATTTAATGACTGTTTTCAAAGTATTTTTAATTGTAAATTTCTGATTCTCATAACTACTTTTGGATGTCTCAAGCATAAAAATGCAAATTTATAATCAAATTACAGTGGAACCTTGCTTAACAAGCATAATTTGTTCCAGAATCTTACTTGTAATGTGAAACGCTCATTAAGCAAAACAATTTTTCCCTTATAAATTAATGTAAAATATGATAATGTGTTCTATTCCGAAAAAATACTCAAATATTTTATGTATAATGTTTATTCAAAGAAAATTATATATTGTACATTGTTAAGGAGTGTGAATCACCATCATTTTTTCTTCTAGTGTGGAATGAACCAACCTGGAATGTGAATTCGATTTGCAGAAAACAAAAAGAAAAAAAAAATCTAAATTTAATTTGGAATTGGTCATTAAATTTAATATGAGATGGCAGCTTATAACTGCCTACTTCTAGTCAAATTATTTAATTTCTAATATTTACTTATAGCCTTTACACAGCCCAAGAATTTGGTATATTGTTTGGCATGTTTATTATATAATCAGCTATGGTTGTTGATGCTTATATGTAATATGTCTGAACACAAGTTTGGAAAAGTGTGTGACCACAAGTGACACTAAGATGCTAGCAGAACGAGTGTTAAACACAGACTGATGAAGCAGGCACACAATTCAAGACTTTTCCCTCTTTTCATCACTTGTTATACCAAACATCGCTTATTAAGTGAGCCATTTTTTACAATTTGTTTTGCTCGTTATGAGAGGTGTTCGTTAAGTGAGGTTCCACTGTACTCTTAAGAATACAATGAAACTATAATGGCACAAATTCAACATGACATCTCATTATTTCAATCTTTAGAGAATTAACCAAACATCTGAAAAATATAAAATTCATAAAATGTTAACATAATGATAATACTTTAAATTTTATCAAATAATAAATGAAAGCATTAAATAATACATGTACTTTCAATCAAGTCATACAGATGTATTCCATATTTTGTTTTAAAAATTTTCTAAAAGTTACAAAATAGAAGTACAATTTATACATGATTATATTTATCACTAGCTGCAACGACCCACTTTGCTGGGTTTTTATTTGTATGCAATATAGTATGTAATATATAAAAGACTGTTTTTCTAAGTAATCTAGAATCTAGCTGCAAGGACCCGCTTCGCTGGGCAAAAAGTAACGATAGTGAAGATTATAGCCAATCTTACCCGTTTTCACAGAATGCAAGAATTAGGTTCCCCGTTTCCAGACTAATTAGAGACCTGGTCCCGATTCTATTTCTGAACGTCTCCTGTTCATGTCCAGTCAAACGAACTATTTTCAACGTTTCTGGAACATTTACAATCGTTCTATAATCGAACCAATATTCAAATTTTATGTTCGAATTCAAATTCAAACATAAAATTTGAAATAGAATACCACTTTCAGCCCCATATCTCCTGCACCCTTATAGCTATCGAGACGCAACCACCATAGTGCACGAATGGAGACTTGGGGCTACTACTACATACAAACACCATTCATGTGCGATGTGTAGTTTTGGCTTAAAAGTGAAATATAGGGACACACACGTCCATATATATATATATAGATAGATTACATTAGCAAAACATAACTAAAGAAAACATATAGCAGATATAGTTAATTCAAGCCATAGAAGTTCATCAACAGCAAAGCTTGAATTATATTTTTTAAAATAATACAGTAGAGCATTGTTTATCCGAATCAATTGGGGACTGGGTTGTTTGGAAAATCGATATTTCGGATAACCGATTATGTACAAAAAAATATATTAACCTATCCCATGTTGAAATTTTTCTCCGTTGTGTGTCACTTTGCGTTGAATTTTCGTTGATGTTAAGACTAATGAAGACTATTGTATCATTAAAAATTATTTTTTTATTTTGTACAAACAAAATAAATATATTGAAAAATATAAAAACAATAAAAAATTATACTTCGGAAGTTAATTTAGTATCAAAAACGTAAAATATTTGAGTAGCCCAAGACATAGCCAAAGATTGCAGCGCCACAGCACTGGCGAAAATTTAAATTTGCCGACTGCAATTCTTTCGGATAATTGACTTTTGGATAAATGATGCTCTACTGTAATATCAATAATTATGGCCAGCTCAAGAGTATGCATTGTTTTAAGTATCATTCATTAATGGTGTCCTGTGCAATTTTAATTTTATTTTTATAGCATTCCATAAAATGGGGTGACTAGATACACTTTTCTGTCTAAATGATTATGTAACTCCAATAACATTTTGCATAATGCAATAAAAACACTGCAAAAGCTTAAAAATCTGCAAAAAGTTGCAGTT